CTTTCTTCTTTCCCCCATGTACCTTTGTTCTGGGGTTGAGGAGATGTTAGGGGATTGTGGTGTGGACCACAGAGGAGAATTTAGATGTTTAGAATAAGGCTGACAAGGTGTGTTGCGAATGGGGGAGTTCCATGTAAAGGGAACCCTTATTTCAAGCTTTAACTTTGGGAGGAATCTTTCTAAGACAAATTGTTTTCAGCAAGGGCTTAAGGAGTATGAATCACCCAGAGTATCATTATCAGAAGCAGAAATTGAGAAAATTGAGATATTATAGCATAGTTATATGTTGAAAGGCATCCAGGGGGAAAGTAATGAAGTAGGAGAAAGATAGGAGAAAACCGCTATTGGGATGTCTTTGAATAAGCTTCCAGTTTTAACCCTTGTGGAGTAAATCCATTTTCTTTTCCCCAACCAGTCTTCCATATGCCCCTATTCTGTGAGTGGCTTTATTCCCCCAGCCAGAACATCTGTAAATTCAGGTAATGTCTCCTTCCTCTGGTAAAAGCCAGGCCTCTGTACTGGTGTACTTAAGGCTGCTGTAACTAAGTACCACAGACTTGGTGACTTAAACAACGGAAATTTATGGCCTTGCAATTCTGGAGGGTGGAAATCTGAAATCAGGGCATTGGCAGGGTTGGTTCCTTCTGAGGGCTGCAGGGGAGAATCTGTTCCAGGCCTCTCTCCCTGCCTTGTTGGTGGCCTTTGTCTCCCTTTATTTCTTCATATCACCTCCCCTCTATGCATGTCTGTCTTCAAATCTCCCCTTATTTTATTTATTTATTTATTCTGAGGCAGAGTCTCAAACTGTCACCATAGGTAGAGTGCCATGGTGTCATCATAGCTCACAGCAACCTCCAACTCTTGGGCTCAAGTGATCCTCTTACTTGAGTTCTTTCTATTTTTAGTAGAGATAGGGTCTCTCTTTTGCTCAGGCTGGTCTCAAACTCGTGAACTCAAGCAATCCATATGCCTCAGCCTCCCAGAGTGCTAAGAATTACAGGGTGGTGCCTGTGGCTCAAAGAGTAGGGCATCGGCCCCATATACTGGAGGTGGTGGGTTCAAACCTGGCCCCAGCCAAGAAAAACTGCAAAAAAAAAAAAATAATAATAATGATAATAAAAATAAAAAATAAAAAAAAAAAATTACAGGCGTGAGCCACCATGTCCATCCAAATCTCCACCCCCCCACTGTTTTTTTTTTTTTTTCTGAGACAGAGCCTCAAGCTGTTGGTAGAGTGCCGTGGCATCACAGCTCACAGCAACCTCCAACCCCTGGGCTTAAGTGATTCTCCTGTCTCCATCTCCCATGTAGCTGGGACTACAGGCATGTCCCACAATGCCTGGATATTTTTTGGTTGCAGCCATCGTTGTTGTTGCCTGAGCTGGATTTGAACCCGCTAGCTCAGGTGTATGTGGCTGGTGCCTTAGCTGCTTGAGCCACAGGTGCTGAGCCCAAATCTCCCCTTTTTATAAGGACACCAATCACATTAAATTAGAGTCCACCATAATGACCTCATCTTAAATAATTAAATCTGTAACAACTCTATTTCCAAATAAAGTCACATTCTGAGATATAGATGATTAGGGCTTCAACATATGAATTTGAGGGGGACAGAATTCATCACATAATGGTTGCCAATGCTTATTTACTCATCTTCAAAATATCTCTCATATCTGCCCTCTTCCACTCATGTTCAGGTCCTTGTGGGGGCACATTCCACCATTGCAACTGTCTTTCTAAAATGTTTCCACCCTTCTCCCCTTCCCTAACCCATTCTTATACAGAAAAGTGAAACTATTCTTCTTAAGCATTGCTTTCAATATGTCATTCTCTTGCTCAAAAAACCTTTGGTGTGTCCTTATTTAGCAAATAAGTTCCAGATCCTAAAATCTGGTCCTCATCAATAAAAACTAAACCTATTTTCCTTTCTAAAACTCCCGTCTTCCCCCCCCCACTCTGCCCCAGAATTATCAGATTATTTAATATCCCTATAGGTTTTATGTTTCCAATTTTCCATCTTTCTTCTTTCCCCCATGTACCTTTGTTCTGGGGTTGAGGAGATGTTAGGGGATTGTGGTGTGGACCACAGAGGAGAATTTAGATATTTAGAATAAGGCTGACAAGGTGTGTTGCGAATGGGGGAGTTCCATGTAAAGGGAACTGCCTATACAAGGGCCCAGAACATAAACAGGCTGGGCATGTTTTGGGAAATACAAATAGGGATGAGTTGCTGGAAGAAATAGGGTGGCAGAATGGGGGAAGGACCACAGCTCTGAAGAGCTTGATGAAGCAAGAACTTGAATTCTCTGTGGGCCAGATGAATTGCTGGGACTTTCCCCCCACAGACAAGTAGTTAGTAGGTGACTTATCACCAAATCCATGGCAGTGGATACTTTGACTTGTTAATAACAGTATCTTCAAGGCCTAGAAGAGTGTCTGTCCCATTGTGGGCTTAGTCAAGGATGACCCAAGAGCACACTGAGACAAGAACTTGGGTGTAGGTTGTGTGAAAGATGATCCCAGAAATCACAAATGAGGGACAGGGAAAGTGGCTGCAAAAGAAAAGAAGTCAATTAAAGTGATTTGTTGAATCAGTTACCACTGTGGGCAACTGTGAATCTCACTGGGGACCCTCTGAAGAATCATACTGAACATTCCTCAGAATTGTCCACTAAGGTCTGGGGGAATCTGGGATATTTTAGTACTAAACTCATTTCATAAGTGATTGAGGGTTGTCTTTGGGAATGTTAAATCCTAGGCACTTCAGGGCCATTTGGAACACAGGTAGGCAAGTCCCCTGGCATTGGAAAAACCTGCAGAATGGGAAGCACGGCTTCCCAGGCTTGAGGTGGGAAGATGTTGATGGGTGCAGGAACTGTCCAACTGCAGCTGCAGGCAAAAGGGCGGGCAGCAGCTGCATTCACTCCCTGTGAACACCTGGATGAAGCTGTAGGATGTATAGCTTACTTCCCTGACCTCTTAAAGGTTGTTGAGAGAAGGAACACAATATACTCATGGAGGCCAGGCATAGTAAAGCACAGGATTACGTAAATGTTTGAGGATAAATGAGAAAGAAAAGTATAAGAGGGAAATGTGGGCAAGTGGCAGGCGTTAATCAATTTGATGAGAACCAGGTACAAACAAACACAACTGGTCTAGTGTTGGTTTTAGCTACATCCTTGAACACAGTAGAGGGGAGAGAGTAAGCATAGCGACAGGACTGAGAATCTGTGTTATCTACAATTAGTTACTTACTTTCTCTGGCTTGCTTAAATGGGTGAGATGTGGTCTGGCCCCCGTCCCAATTCATTAGAGAAACCCAATCTTGATACCTGCCCATTTGTTTACACCTGTGAGCCCCCAACGAGTGTGAAAGTGCTTTGAGAAACATAAAGCTCTGAAAATAGGGCATTCTGGTGTCTGTTTGTTCTGAGCATGGGTGGTCAGATTACCCACGCCTTTAAAAGATGTTGGGTTACCAGGAGCAAACCAGCAAGAACCACCAAAATGTTAAATATGTTTGCCCTTTGACCTTAGCACTGGTCTGTTGGTTCTTGGGGGCAGGATGGATGGAGCAGCCTGGCAGGGACCATAATGCAGGAGGTGGAGACTCGCATGAAATAGTAGGGGTCAAGCCTGTCTGACACGGGGGATGAAAGAAATGACTCTAGGCAAATATGGAACTCACCTCCCCATAACATGAAGGATGGGCAACTAGACCACACAGAGTGGCTGGGGCGTGGGTGGGGAAGGCTGCCATGTCAGCTGTGGTCCCACTCTCACTTTCCCCATTTCAGAAATGGTCAATGTAAGGAAAACAAGGGAAAAACTGGCCTTCCATCAGAAACCTGTGCCCTCTTCATCCTTGCCCCTTACTCTGGTCCTGCTTCTCTCCCTTTGCGGACTCTGGCCAAGCTCAAACACCGCCCATCCTGCCTCAAGGCAAGGTCACAGACAGTGTTTTCATGAAAGTCTACTTTAATGATTGAGATTTGGGTCATCCAAGGACTGCCCCTCTGAAGGGGAATGGGGAGGGCATTGGGGCAGCGAGGGTTCACTTAAGCCTCAGTCGGCAACAAGATTTCGTTCCGCAGTGGGAAATGGCCCAAAGAAGCCCTAAAAGAAGAAGAAAAGGGATTTAGAGTCAGGATGTGGGAAGGTAGCTTCTCCCTCCTCCACCCTCCTTTCCTAAATATTTCAGTGACAGCCTGATTTGAGAAAGCCTTCACCACAGTGACACACCCACTTATGGAGAGCACGACCCTTGGCCCCCAAAGTCTCCTCCCCCCATGATTTTCCTTTAGGTCCTCCAAGGTCCTCCTCCCCTGATGATTTGCCTTTAGGCCAAGGCCTGGAGAAGAATTGCTGTTCCTTGTTTGCTTTCTCTGAAGCACCAGGGCAACTAGTCCCCCACAGGTAGGTCTTTGTCACTTAGCTCTGATTCCATTGCTCAGCAACCGATCTAGGTTTAAGATGTGCAGCTGCCAGATTATGGAACTAGGAACCTGGAGAGGATAAGGAGCCAGGACTCCCTATGGTGCAGGCTGCCCTTACATGTCATGAACAGCCAGCTGGGCTTCTCAGCTTCCTGCCACCACCTGAATCCAAGCCAACTTGGTCTCCCAACATCACTAGGGTGGCCTGTTAAAATCATCTATCACATTGTGACATTCCCTTCCTTAACATTTCCTGGTTAACTTCCCACTGCTCTTAGAATAAAATCTGAAACTTTTGCCATGATCATCCATGAGCCCTGTATGGTCAGTCTTAGGCCTACTTTTCCAATCTTATTTTCTGCCACTGACTTTTCTGTCTCTCCTCTAACATGCTGTGGTAGTCTTGTCTCAGGGCAATTGTAGTTGCAATGCTTTCTGCCCGGGATGCCTTTCCTTTATATCTTCCTCTGGCTGCCACCTTCTTATAATTGAGGTCTTAATACCCCTGCAAAAGGACCTTTTTTCAATGTGGAGGGATGTGATGTTTGCAACAGTCCAATCCCTACTGCAGTCCTTGAAAAGAAAGGCACAAGTTGTGCAGGAGAAAGAGCTGGAAATCAGATACCAGGGTCAAGGCTTGGCTTTGCCATGAACCTGTCATGCAGCCTTGAGTGAGACCCATGACCAACCTGGGCCTCAGTTTCTCATCTATAAATATAGGTGGTAGTACCAGATAGGTGGCTTCCAAAGTGGATTCTGAAGAGTTCAAAGATCCCAAGGAGATGCCTCAAAGCCTTGCTCTGGTGACTTACCCAGGCAAGGGGAAGGCTGAATATGAGGGCCTCTGGGCTGTGTATCCCATTCCATTTATCGCAGGGGACCTTGCTATCACTTGTTATCTTATACAGTAGAGCATATACAAGGAAGTATATGAGGAAAAGGAGAATATTTTATCTAACTTTGGAAACTCTGCAGCTTTCTCTGCCTATTTTAAATTCAGTGTTTTGTGCATGATCATATAGATCATTTCTTCCTTAGAGGCTCTCAGCACTTCTCATATGGGTACCCATGAATGATATGGGAAAGTGGGGTGCTCTTTGATTGGGAAAGGAAACATTCTTTCTTCAGCTTACCCATTATCACCCCAACACCCATTCCCTTCTTCCCTGTCTCCTTCATTCAAACAGCTCCTTGGTGATTCCAACCTCCCTAGGAGAAGCGAGATCCTCACCTTGACAGGGTTGGCCACTTCTCGCTTCAGAGCCTTAGAAACCACTCTGGAGGTAAAGCACTGATCTTTGTTCACCTTGGCCACAGGGCTCTGTGAAGAAGGAAGCAGGAATCAAGAAAGCAGGAAAGGGTGAGAGGACCCCAGAGGGAAACAGTAGGATAAAAAGTGAAGGCTTCACAATTCTTGAGAGGACACATGGGTCTCACCTTAGGGAAAAGGAGTCGAATTTTCTCCTTTTGTTTGCCCCTAGAAGAGACAGAGATGACAAACAGGACCTAGGTTTGCTAAAACTCACCTCCCTTCCCTTTTCAGACATTGATAATGGATCTCAGAATTGTTCCTTGCTGGTGCCAGACAGGACCTCTGAGTTAGTCTCCTCATAGTGCTCCTGGCAGCTCCTACCTGCAGTTTTAATACCCATTCCTTTCCTCCCCTGTCTGTCCACCCAACTGCATGAGCCAACCACAGGCCTCACTCACTTCCCCCTAGTGAGTTTAGTGGGGAAAGCTGCCTTCTCATCCCTCAGGCATGGATTTTGGGGGTTGAAGTGCTCCATTTGGGGGAATATATCTTGAGTGATGTCATTCTTCCAGAAAAGACCTGCAGGATGAAAGGATAATGCGAGTTGACATCTGTGACACTCTGACCCAGCCTAGGGACCAAAATGATCTCTCTTTCAAGTACATATTAGGATCACACTTTGCAGAGAGACAAATGAGACCATGTACAAAAATTGCCTAGTTCAGTGCCTAGCATGTAATATTCATTTAGGATTATGATTATAGTCTCTTTGCTAATCCCTTTGATGCTATTGTGAGGATTAAGTGAGTTTAGGCAGGTAAAGAGTGCGCAGGAAACTGCAAGGCAGTGATTATCAAACTTCAGTGTGCATTAGAATCTCCTGCTTGGCTTGTTAAAACAGATTTCTGTTTCCCACACACAGTGTTTCTTACACAGTAGGTCTGGAGTGAAGCTCAAGAATTAGAATTTCTAACAAGTTCCCTGGTGATGCTGATGCTACTGGTCCAGGGAAACACTTTAAGAATCACTGGCCTAAGGCACTATGCACATATTAGGCATTGGTTGTAATGATATACACTCAAGGCAAATTTCCTGTTTCCCCTCTCCCATTCATGAAACTGTGCTCTAAAAACAGGGTTGGCCATCTGTCACCAGTGTACTCTCCTCAGTGTACTTCCTTTCATTCCTTCTGTCAGACAATTTTCTCTGCTTCCTACTCAGAGGCAAAAGTGTGTGTGTGTGTTCTCCTGGCTGAGAATTGAAGAAGTCCTGGCTTTGGAAAAACTCAGGAGTTAGATGCTGGCCTCTTCCAGGGGCTTCTTGTAGAAGCCTCCGCTAAGCTCTTCCAGGACATTCATGTGCAAGTATCCCACTCATCTAGACCCAGCCCTGCTCCTGTCTCACTACCATCTCCATGAGGTGACTGTGACAAGAAAGTTTTAAGTAAAACCGTCCTGGGGTCACATAAGCCCCTCACTGTCTGCCCATTATTTGATCAGGCCCCAACCTCTGTTCTCCAGCTTTTACTTACCCTGGGGTACAATCTGCTGGAGTATGACTTGTAAATTCTGGAAGACTGGGGTGGTAAGTCCTTGGAGGGACCAGAACTGCCCCACTCCCACTTGGTCCTGACCATCTATGGGCAAATAATAGTGTCAGCAAGGTGCTTGTACAGCAACCTTCCAAATTCCAGTCAAAAAATCAGCTTCCTTGTACTGTCTGTCGCTCCTTGATCTCCTTATCTCTGTTTCCCGCGCTAGGCCCCTTCACCCTCTGCCAGTCCTCCTTCTTTCATTTTTCCCTTCCTCCATCACCACCTGCCATGTTCTTCAGCCCCCAAACCTTCTTCACCCTTGGTACTAACTTCCAGGTCAGAACCAAGCTTGCAAGCAAAGAACAGCCTGTGGAGGTTCAGGTGAGCAAAGGATAATCAGGTGGCTTGGTGGGGCATGTGGAAGCCGGTGAGCTGCATTTTAGGGAAGGCTTTGAAGCCTGGAGTGGTTAAGGAAGTGGCCTGGAATCCTTAGAAAGAGAAAGTATTGGTATATGTAGGCTTGAGGATCTGTATTCTCCTAAAGCCACAGTTTGCTCAACTGCGCATAGGGGTAGGACCGGAGCCAGGGAAGATAATCCTGAGTGATACACACACCGGATGGAATAGGGCGGGAGGACAGTCTCTTTTTTCCACAGTGGAATTACCATGAGTCATTCTAGACAGGTCTTAAGGGAATTTTCCTACCCAAGAAAACAGATGTCTAACAACAATGTCCTGGCCATTAGAGGTAGTGGAGCCTCCAGCATCCTGCAGAGAAGAAACAGTTTTGGGAAGGAGGGCTGTTTCTCTGAGACTGCGCTTCCAGGACTGCTGGGAAAGAGCTGCTGGCTCTGTCCGTGGTGCTGAGAGGATGCGGACGCCTGGAGTGACGATGGCGCAGGGCTGTATTGTGGGAGACGCGTCTCCAGGAGCCTTGGCGATTCTCCTCCCACCCACCTCCTCCCACAGTTCTTCGCGAATCTTCTGCATTGGCCTCTACTAAACCCAAGAATCGGAGGGGATGTTGGGTGTCAGACTGGGAGTTTGCGCTCTCTTTTCCACTCGCACTGCGCAGTAATTCTCGAGTCTGCGCAGTGCGTTTCTGAATGTTCGATGCGAGTCCGCGGGATCCCCCCAGGTTGGCGCAATGGGTAGGGGAAGGAAGAACGATGACTCCATTACCGCTCCATCGTATTTTAGCCTGGCTTAGCTTTCCCTTTCTTATTGGAAATTGGACCACAACCGTCAGACTCTGGGCTTACAACAAAGCCCTGGCTCTTCTCTGCTCCCCGGAGCCAAGACCCTGATGCCCGTGGAGCCGGGCTCCTGCTCCCCTGCAGACTACTCCGCCCTGGTCATCATCTCTTTCCTGGCCTTTGGGGGCGTCTTTGCTTCTCCTGTGGCCGCATAGATCGCTTATACCTCCCCCTGCCTATTTGTCTTCCCAGCTCCTCCCAAGTCCCCAATCCCCAATCTCCCCCTGAGCCCACTACACTTAGGTGCGAACCCCCCCATGCTGAGACCCATCCCAAGCCTACACCTCTTTCTGCGAGATACTTCCTACATGTATCTCTTCTCAGAACCCCAAGCAAACGTCTTTCCTCCTGAGTTTCCTAATCTTGAAACCCCCCGACCCGCTTCTCTCAGGATCACTCTGATACTGCCTGCAGCCCACCCCCCCACACACACCCATCCAGTTTTCCATCTGACCGTGGGCAGTAATGTCGCTGCAGCACCCCGGGCGACTGTTCAGCTGCAGGAAGCAAACAAGCATCCGGAGTCCCCAGGAGCCCCCAGGCCAGAACAGATGCAGCATCTTCCTCAGCTCCGCGCGCTCGCCGCCTGCCCAAGCCTCAGTGAAGGTAGCGACCGCAGCAGCAACGGCGGAGAGAGGCTGCAGCTGCCCACCTGCTAGCGGGGCAAGATTTGCATAACCCTGCTCCGCAGCTCCACCAATCACTAGGGGCCCTGCTGACGCCTACCCAACTCCCAGGTCCTCCTCCCGCCTCTCCCCAGTCTACACCTCTTGGATTCCTGACCCTGTCCCTTTTTGACATAAGCTGGGCCCAAGGACCACCGCTTCTACTCCCTGTTCCAAGGTGGGGGAGAAACGGATTGCGTATAAGATATTGGTGCAAATTGCACCTACCTCACAAACTGTGTCGTGAAAATTAAATATGAAAAGTAGGCACTTAATAAAATGAATTTTTATTATCCTTGACACTCACTTTACTCTCGCTCCCCTAAAAATCATTAACAATCGTATGGATTCGACACGTAAAATATTTCGCACATCCATCCACTTTTCTCCACATCCACTGCTGTCACCCTGGCCCAAACCACAGGGCTCTTTTGAAAAAGTCCATCTGTTGTGCTAACTAGTCAACTAGCTGATCTCTTGCTTGAATTCTTGTGTACTTATAAGCTACTTTGTGAGTTTTCCAAGCCATAGATTGGCATTTCAGTAGTTTTTCATTAAGTTTAATACTTTTATTAAAAATTTTCATATATTAAAAAGAGAAGATTCTGATTAACACTTATATTACCCAGATTTAATTAGGATTTTTATCATAACTCCTTTTTCTTACTGAAGTATTTAAAATTTAGTATCATATTTCACTCCTAAATAATTCAATATGCATCTCTCAGAATGAGTTTCCTACCTAACCATAAAACCATTGTGACATCTGTGATAGCCTGAATAATGACCTCCCAAAGATGTCTATGTCCTAATCTCCAGAAATTATGAATATATTTCTTTCTTTCTTTTTTTTTTTTTTGAGGCAGAGCCTCAAGCTATCATCCTGGGTAGAGAGCGGTGGCATCACAGCTCACAGCAACCTTCAACTCCTGGGCTCAAGCAATTCTCCTGCCTCAACCTCCCAAGTAGCTGGGACTACAGGCACCTGCCACAACACCCGGCTATTTTTTGGTTGCAGCCATCATTGTTGTTTGGCGGGCCTGAGCTGGATTCGAACCCACCACCTTAGGTGTATGTGGCTGGCGCCTTAGCCACTTAAGCCACAGGCACTGAGCCATGAACATGTTTGTTTACATGGCAAGAGGAACTTTGCAAGTGTGATCAATCTTAGAAGGTGATTAACTTTAATTTAAGTTTTTGAGACAGATATTATTCTGTCTCCCTTGGTAGAGTGCTGTGGCATCACAGCTCATATCAACCTCAAATTATTGGGCTTGAGCAATACTCTTGCCTCAGACTCCCCAGCAGCTAGGAATACAGGCACCCACCACAATGTCCAGCCAGCTTTTTCTATTTTTTTTTTGAGACAGTCTCACTATGTTGCCCTGTGTAGGGTGCTGTAGTGTCACAGCTCACAGCAACCTCAAACTCTTGGGTTTAAGCTATTCTCTTGCCTCAGCCTCCCAGGTGGCTGAGACTACAGGCACCCATCACAACACCTGGCTATTTTTTGGTTGTAGTTATCATTGTTGTTTGGCAGGCCTGGGCTGAATTCGAACACACCAGCTCTGGTGTACGTAGTTGGCGCCCTAGCTGCTGAGCCACAGGCACTGAGCCGGTTTTTCTATTTTTAGTAGAGATAGAGTCTTATTCTGCTCAGGCTGCTCTCAAACTCCTGAATTCAAGCAATCCATCCACCTTGGCCTCCTTGGAGTTCTGGGATTACAGATGTTAGCCACCTCACCGAGCCAGAAGGTGATTAACTTTAGATAGGGAAATTATCCTTAATTACCCACTTGGGTTCAATGTAATCGCAAAAGTCCTTATAAGAGGTAAGCAGGAAGGTGATAGTATTTTGCAAGAGGTTAAAGTGATCCAAGGAAGGTGTCACAAGCCAAGGAATGCAGACATCCTCTGTAAGCTGAAAAGGGCAAGCAAATAGATTCTCTCATTAGGCATCCAGAGGGAACACAGCCCTGCTAACACCTTGACTTTAGACTTCTGACTTAAAGAACCATAAGATAAATTTGTGTTCTTTTAAGCCAGTACATTTGAGGCAATTTTTTACGGTGGCAATCAGAAACTAACAAACATCTGAAAATATTTATGATGATGCTCTAATTGACATAATTTTCTAATACTAGTGGATACAACTACTTGTCAGATAAATGGTTTGTGAGTATTTTCTGACTCTGAGCATTTCATTTTGGTCCTCTTTTTTTTTTTTTTTTGAGACAGAGTCTCAAGCTGTAGCCTTGGGTAGAAGGCTTAGCATCATAGCTGACAGAAACCTCAAACTTTTGGGCTTAAGCTATTCTCTTGCCCCAGCCTCCCAAGTAGCTGGGACTACAGGCGCTTGCCACAACGCCCGGGTATTTTATTGTTGTTGCAGTTGTCATTGTTGTTTTAGCTGGCCTGTGCCTGGGTTCGAACCCAGCAGCCTCGGTGTATGTGGCCGGCACCCTACCCACTGAGCTACAGGTGCTGCCCATTTTGGTCTTCTTAATAGTGGTTTTCAAAGAGGAAAATGTTTTATTTTTGATGAAGTTCAATTTATTAATTTTATCTTTTTATGGCTAATGCTTTTCATGTTCTTAAAAATGCTCACACAAATTCATTAAGATCTTCCATTTTCTTTTCAAAGCTTGGTTATGCGGGCCTCATAAAATTAGTCAGAAAGCACTCCTTTCTTCATGCTCTGAAAGTTTGTGTATGATTAATATTCCTTCTTTTTTTTAAGCATTTGGCTGTGGAGTTTCTTTGGGAAAGTTTTATTACAATTTCCTTATCTGCCAATATCTTTGGGTCTACGTCTAATGACTATCTTCTCTTGTGATTTTCATTTTCCTGCTTCTTTGCCAACTTTTGGGTCTTATACTGGACATTTCAGGCTATACACTACAAAGGCTCTGAATTAAATTATCATCCTTTAAAAGATACTGAGTTTGTTCTGGCAGATAATTTTTTAGCAGAAAACCTTGATCTTGTGGAATCCTGGGTAGGGCAGGAGTATTTAAGTTCTACTATTAATTCCAGCCTGTAGCTTCCAGTCCTGAAATATGGTACTTATACTAAGGGGTGGTTTTCTGGGATTTTTTTTCTTTCTTTCTTTCTTTCTTTTTTTTTTTTTTGACAGCAACCTCCAACTCCTGGGCTCAAGTGAGTCTCCTGCCTCAGCCTTCCAAGTAGCTGGGACCACAGGTGCCTGCCACAATGCCCGGCTATTTTTTGGATGCAGCCATCATTTTTGTTTGGCAGGCCCAGGCTGGATTCGAACCTGGCACCTTAAGTGTATGTGGCTGGCGCCTTAGCCACTTGAGCCA